AAGAGAGAATTAAAAAAAAAAAAAAAAAACAGCTTTGTTTTGGAAATTTGTGTTTGATTCTATAGTGCTGTAGATGTACATAAAACTGTCATTCTCCTTTGAACCATTATGTAAATAAAGCAGGACAATAACAATTACATGTAAAATCTTAGCTCAGTGACTCTTACTGTGTAAAGGTTTGTGCGCCCTCTAGTGGTCTTTCCTGCAAATCACACGTTTTCTTGCACCACTTACAGATGCTTCAACTGTGGAGGGCCGAATCATCACGCCAAAGAATGCCAGCTGCCACCTCAGCCAAAAAAGTGCCATTTTTGCCAAAGCATCACCCACATGGTGGCCAACTGTCCAATCAAAGCACAGCAGTTGTCACCGGGATCTCAGGGAAAATCAACAGCCTCCACTACAGGAGAAGAAGAGGACATGAGCCACACCCCCTTCCCTCCCGACAGCTCTGATTAGTCGAGGAAGGTTGTCAGGGGAACACAAGCACCAATCAAAAAGTTTCAATGGAAAGCTGCTTTTGGAACTAACTCAGGTTTTTCTTTTTCAAACAGCAGAAATGAATGTCGCCGCTCACTTTTGAACTTTAGTCAGGAAATTCAAACCGGATTAAATTAATATAGAATGTTATATAATCACCATCATATCCATCTTTATTTTTGACAGCCATCTTGGTAAAATGTCTGAACCGCAGCTTTGCGATCTGGGTATTCACACAATTGATTTGGGATGAACCAGATATTTCAGATGGATAATCATGAAATGGAGGGCAGGCCTCACAAAAACATGTCCAAATCAAAAATTCAGAAATTATATTTTGCTTAAATGAAGCCTGTTTTAGGACTATTGAGGGTTTTTTTTTTCAATGACAATTAAGCACATTTCCTCAGTGTCTTTTAACACTTATTTTAGCACACACACACCCTCTCTCATGCACACGCACACACACTCACTCACACTCACACTCACACTCACTCTCTCTCTCTCTCGCTCTCGCTCTCTTTCTCACACTCACACTCACATACACTCTCTCTCACTCACTCACTCACTCACACTCACTCACTCACACTCACACTCAGGTTTAGTGAGATCTGCCCTATGTGTGAAGCACGTGTGTGAGAGAGAGACTTTTATTTTCTGCCTTAGCTAGCAAAGTGTCTTATTTGTATACTGAAACAATCAAAATGCATAATGTTTACATATCGCAATAAGCCTGGATGTTGGTGATACTGGCGAAATGCATCTCTCTCTTGCTTTGTGATGGCCAAATCAGAGCTGTCATTCACCTGTACACTGGAGAAATCAGTCTGACTTCCCTTTTTAGTTTTCTTGCTGATCGGAGACTTCTTCTGATTGTGGTTTACACAGGCCAAGTGAATGTTAAAATGCTGTGTTTGTGCATATCTTACCTCAACCTCTCTGTATCATCAGTGGAAATATTTTGACTGCACTGTCGTTAGTTAGTTACTATAAGAAAGACACAGTGGCTTTCTTAGATCTTTAATGCTGTGTAATTGTAAGGCTCGCTCTCATTTAAAGATCTGGGAAATTCTAGGCAGAGTCCAGAAGAAATCCACCATATTCCCAACTGGTACTTTGAAAACTAGAGCCAAGACAACAGCACATGTTTTTATGATAATCTTTTATCTCTTTCCTTATGTAATGTCATATGAGACACTAATGAGGTATCAGGTTTGTTGAAGCCTATTCCAAGAGATCCTGACTAGATCTCACTTTATTGTAAATAACAATTGTAATCTTTTTTTTAAACCACTGTTATTTATTTGTAGCCACACAAACTGACCTCAAACTCTGTGATGTTGCGATGGACTCAGTTTGCTCTCAGTCACAACAAGAGCTGAATCCTTTTGATAATTAGTTCATAGTTAAACGTTTTTATCTGTAGTATGGAACTGATTGACAGCTGGTGACTAGAATTAACAGTGCTTAAACTACGCTGAGAATGATTTTGATGCACTAATTTTTATTTATGGCCTAAAACGGAGATTTCAAAATATTTTGTTTGTATGATTTATTCCCGTGACTGCATGAAGTTCAGGTTTGTTCTCGTTTTGACGGGGAGCAACTGAGCTGTCAGGCTTCACTGCGTTTGAGGAAAGCGTCTATAGTCTTTGCCAAGTGAAAGTATGATAAATCGTGTGTTTAGCCTTTTTGTACATTTGACATAATCCTCAAACTTTCAGGAACTCAGTGGATGGACAAATACACATTTGTACCATTTCTTGCAGCAAAGCACAACCGGTGTGTTTTCAAGCACGGCACGTGTTTGAGCACAGGTTGAATGTTACAATGGTTGGTTAGTAACCTCAAAACTAACGGCACATCACTGCTCCACAAGAGTGTTTTGCTGTTTGGAGGCTAATTTGTCCCTCAGAATAACCTGAAATGGTTTTAGTATGTTATTGCATGGAAGTAGGTGTTAGAGTAGTTGGATATAGTGTTGGGTGGATGGGTCTCGCCTCAAACAACCTGTTGAAAACTTGAAGTTTTCAGATTAAAGGATGTGAAGGTTTCTTTCTCATTGATAAGATTGTATTCTGTCTTAGTTCATGCCATTATTGTATATTCCTTTATCATTTCAATATTTTATTGTATTGTTTCTTTTTTATCTTTATTTAAAGCGAAAACAAGTACATAACTTGTTTTGAATCTATACAAATCTACCTCAGGGTGTGTTGAAATGTATTAAATGGACATTGTTACCAGAATACTGTCCATTTAAGTGTGTGTGTGTTTGTGTTTGTGTGCGTGCGCGCGTGTGTGTGTGTGTGTGTGTTTGCGTGTGTGTGAGAGAGAGAGAGCGAGAGAGAGATAAGTGAGTGTGTGCTTTAGTTTTATTTTTCTAGGTTTAATGTATTTAATTTGGGACGTGCGATCGTTTGCAATGTAGTTGCACTGTTTAAACTCAGTTTTGGTCAAATGTGTGTGAATTTGTGGTTTACATTTAGACCAACTGGCAGGAGAAGTGCAACTGTAAAATTGCTCCAGTACGCTTTTTTATTATTATTTTTTTTTTATAATAATGTACTCTGAGATTGTTAACTCAGGAATATGTTAATTATTTCTTGTTTGGTTTTAATTAATGAAGAGAATAATCAGTGTTGGTGACCTTGATTGTTTTATTATTATAATTATTCTCATTTTTTGTTGCTCGCTGATGCTCAGGGCCTCCAGATGCTGCACAAATATGAAGCCCTGCTCATGTTCAGTTTGTGTGTCCTTCAGTCATCTTGTGTTGTCATTCAGGAGTGGTCAGGACTGTTTGTTCCACGTGTGTTTGATAAAGGCAAATACATTTAGTGTTCCCGTGACCAAAGAATGTAGCCACATTGAATATGGCAAACAAATAGCGTGCAGCTCGGTTTATGGACTTTCCTCTGCTGTGATCCATGTTGAGTGGTTTCAGAGAGAACGCTTTCATCTTCAGTTCATCGTGACAAAGCATGCAAAGAATGATGTGCCCAAGAATGTGTTTTAGTGTTAACATTGACAACTGCTTTGTAGTGAATAAATATCTTTTTATGATCATGCTGGCATTGTGTTTCTTTCACACGTGGTGTGGTGGTTTGGCACATTGATTAAAAGGAAAAATGTGAAAAATTTGCTACAAATACACTCCTCCTCGGGCCATTAATATGTAGATGGGTTTGTTTCTTCATCAGATTTGGAGAAATGTAGCATTACATCTCTTTCTCACCAAGGGATCCTCTGCAGTGAATGGGTGCCGTGAGAATGAGAGTCCAAACAGCTGATAAACACATCACAATAATCCACAAGTAATCCACACCACTCCAGTCCATCAGTTAATGTTTGAATTCAAACGAGTCCTCTACCCATAATATTGCTTTCTCCAGTGAAAAAGTAGTCTTGTCTGAATCAGGAGAGAAATATGCACAGATCAAACACCATTTACAAGCCAAAACAGTTGTGGGTGCACAGATTTTGATGTGAGCGGACAACAGGAGATGGACATGGAAGCGTTAATTATGAACTTATAGAAGCAACATTTAAAGGAGAATAAGATAAGACCCTTCTTCCTCGGCTAGGATCGTTTAGAGCCCTTTGAAGCTGCATGTAAACTGCATTTTGGAAGTTCAAACTCGCGGGCACCATAGAAGTCCACTATATGGAAAAGATTCTTGAAACGTTTTCCTCAAAAAACATACTTCACTACAACCACTGGAGGATTGTTAGGAATCCGGTCCCTGGCATGCCGTCCGATTGCCACCAGAGGTCGCCCTTCCATTACATTGACTCTGCCATTACACAGACTGTTACATGTTACCCCGGACTACATTTACCATGTTCAATTTCACTGATTACACTCTCACCTGTAGCCAATCACACACACTATAAATAGTATTGGAGTATTGTTTGCGTTTATCGCTGGGTTAGTGATAGCTACATTACAGAGCCATTCCGGTGTTTCCTAAATCTAGTCTAGTCCTGTCCGTTGCCTGATTCTTCCGTGTTCTGAGCCTTGCCTGTTTACCTCGTCCTGCTTGTTCTCTGCCTGCCTTGGACTTTAGCCTGTCTTGGATTATCCTTTTGCCGCGTTGTCTCGGACTTTGTTTGCACCTCGCCTAAACTATTGCCTGTTTGTGGATTACCCATTTGCCTCGCCCTCTGGATTACGTTCGTTGTCGATTGACCCACGCCTGTCTCTGGATTACTCTCTCGTGTTGCCTATGCTGTACCTGTTATTGCTGTTGACCTATGCCTGTTTTGACCACGTCTTTAAATAAAGCTTTGCAGATGGACCCGCACGCCTCTCGTCTCCGTCTCCCCGTTACAAGGATAAACTGAACACTGATTATGATGACTTTTATTAAACGCAAAGAAATACTACAGAAACACTGCTATATTTAATATATGTCGTGCTGGAGGCTATGCATGGAAGAAGATTATAATTATAGACTACCTTTTGGTTCTCAGTGTAATAAGGACCCACATTTGAATTAGGCCTGCTTTTGGAATAGCAAAAAAAAAAAAGTTTTTTGGTCAACACTTTCTCTAAATGTGGTAAACTTCACTTATGTAATAAACTTTTATTGTAAATTTGATAATGTGTAGGGCTAATAAAATGTCCCTTTAACTTGTTGAGCACAGACCTGACAAAGACATGAAAATACAATGGCTGCAGACATTGCCTGTGGTGTTTCTTGTCTATGGCTGAACTTAAAAGTCTACAATATGAATGGAATATACTTTTATACAGTTTGATGTTCGATTTAGGCCTACTTACATTTTTAGGGGTGCCAGTGCTGTGACATGTTCTGTAGAAAAAAAAACATTTTATGTATTTTTTTTTATTCCTTTAAAGGTTGGATTTATTATTATTTTTATTATTGAATTAAACAGCATAGACATTACTTTCACCAACTGTTTTGCTCATATTTACCTTTGCTCATATTTACCAAATGTGCCAATATTAGGGTGCTTTATATATATATATATATATATATGTATGTGTGTGTGTCTGTGTGTGTGTGTGTATATATATATGTATATGTATGTATATATATCAGGGGCGTAGATTACTTTTTCGGGCAAGTGTGTTCGCATAGAGGTTTTCAAGAGCCGTTGTGAATAAATATAGATTTAAATTCAA